TCAACTTTTTGCTCCAATAAACGCTCATGAATCCTCGCCCGAGAACGCTCCGCAGATAAAGACAGATTTGAAATCAGCATTTTATGCTTTGCCACTTCGACTAAACATCCTTCCCTTGCTGATAATGCGCTTCAAGATGAATTTTTGTAACAACTCGGTACCTTAACATTGATTATTTCAAGGGGACTACTAGAAAAACTGACCATGTTCCAGGGTAGTTCTCCAAGAAATTGATACAATATTCTTCTACGTCCCTTCATGTTTATGTTTTCACAGTGCTTGCAAGGAGGGAAAATCACACTTAGCCCAAGATGAACAAAAGTTGACAGTGTCTAAAATACCCGGAGGCGTTTATTTAGGATTGACAAATGGATGACTTACAGCGACAATTCCGCACCAGTACAACATGCTTTTCGACCTACTCTTTGATCTCACCTACGTGTACTTTATATGCCAGTGGAATACGTAAACAGCGATCCAAAACTGTTCCTAACAATAAGGCGATGAATGACTGTTGTGGCAATACCGGAGTTCAACAAGAGATTAACTCAATGCGTTTCCGATTATTTTCCGCTAGCCAGCCAAAATACCCCTTTGTTTCTCGCAGTTTGGGTCAGTCGGGTATTGCTGTTCTTTCTTTTTTTCGAAGTTTTTGTTGTCGGTCTGTGTTGGGTTTCTCTTCTAACATGACGAATGCTAAAAAATCACTTTGCGATTAGTGCCAAGTTGGAAAGCATTTGCTCAGAGCATGGGATACCGTGCTTTGGCAAACTCCTGCTAAAGGGTCTCTTCGAAAACGTAAATTTGTTTCCAAACTTGCATCTGGAGATTAGATTTATTTGCCGTAACGCAAGTGTGACATTGGTGCGAAGGAAAAGCATATGTATTACGTCGACGAAACAATTAATAATTTTTATGTCTTTTGACAAGTTTTAGCAGGCAATTGAGAAGGTGTTTTCCTGCTCTAATATAGCTGAAGTTAGTTCTAGGCTTACCTGTAATGGATCTCTGAATAGCCGCATTCAAAGTAGAATTGCATTGAATTAACATTTTTCGTCAGATTTCAAGCGCAAATGATGGCGCTCTTTGAAGAATTAGTCACTGTATGTGATAGAAAGTATCTACATTACAAACATATGGCAATTTTTGAAATCTTTTATAATGAGATAAAGCCATCGCAATATGAGTAGATATTGCGGTCATTTTACGATCCATTTGATTCTTTGAAGAAAACAGTCGCCAAACCTTTGCTCAAATTTTTAGGGCGTAACGCACCCTGTTCATATATTTCAGTACGCAATCCATAACTCAACATTTCGAGCCCCTTAAAAGTTACAAAAGACAAAAGAGAATTATATATTTATTTTCTTGTGCGGCTTTCTTGTCCAAGTCCTCTTCATCTTTGTTGATACCACGTTCCACGGCTACAAAATAGGCTACTTATCAGTTATACTAACAAACTTTAGGTGAAGTTATAATTTATCAGAAACGAGGTTCTTTCAGATAAATTCTTCTTTTAATATATATTTTCTTGTCCGTTTGTGGTATGGGTATGAATGAATGTGCGCAGTATTGAATTTGGTGTCTCTGATGGCCTTTTTGACATTCAGACATGTAAATAACAAGATGCGCATTATTTTTGAAGCAGCCTAACAGAGTAATGTGACTACATCATAGAGGGCCAACAATTGATTCTTTCAAGTTCAAAATTGAGCAAGACCTGTTTTCTTGTTGAGTGCATGAATAATACAATGTGAGGCAATGTGTACGCGGCATAAGCAGATGTCCCAAGATGATAATAGGTCCTGCTGAAATGTGTACGTATAAAAGTGATCGTTTGCAGACAAAGTGAGTAATCTTTGCGAAAAGAACTTTCATCACACAAAACAAGACTCCCTGGGGGGTGAGCGTGCATTGAACTTTGAATCTGCACTTTTCTATATTTTGCAATCAAAGTATGTAAGAATTATTGTATAGAGTGCTGCTTTTTGTGATGTTAGGTTGATGCAAAACTTTTGTCGCATCATTTTTAAAGAATCATAACTTTTTGCTCTCTCAATGGATTTGCACAATTTTAATCTTGCTAGATAGATGCACCCCTTCTCTTTGTGACTTTGCTGCTTCTTAATAAAGGGGGAGGGGGGGGGGGGGGAAAGATGGCAAGAAAATCTTCATATTCCAGCATTTTGAGTTAGGCTGCTAAAAAGCTGGAACTTGCGGTAAAGTTCCGAACAAGCAGGTATAGTAAGTCTTTTGATCCGCAGTTTCCAACAGTGTAAAGTTTTTGTCATGAGCATTTTTCTAGAGAGTTATGATTTCTGAACAAGCGATATAAAACAGTGGATTTGATTTTTGGTTTTTTTTTTCGAAATTCATTAAATAAATTCAACTCTTTACAGGCGAAATTCAATTCATTTCAAGCATGGAGAGGGTGGATTGATTAAAAGGAAGGCTTACTATGCTGCTTGCTTGGAATTTCATCAGATAATTCAGATTTTTAGCAGCCTAACTTAAAATGACCGAGGTTGAAATAATCTCATTTTACTGCTTCCATCTCAAGTTATCTCTTGTTAGCGAGCATTCAAGGCACTATCATAAAGGGAAGATTTGCGTCTACCTAGGCAAATTGTGCAAATCCGTTGAGAGGGCAGGAAGTTATGGTTTATCAGAAATGATGCCACAGAACTTTTGCATCAGCCGAATAGAATGAGAGGGTGTGACATCGTTACTGTTATGTCCGAAAAAGGAAAACCCAGTGGAATTTAAAATGACGTCGGACACGCTACTCATTGTTACGTAATGTTTTGTCAGTCACTGACGATACCACTTGCCAATAACATGCGTGCTCTATCAGACATCACATTATAATCACCTCTACCAAATATCACATTATAAGTGCACGTTCTGTGAATTCCGCGATTTCGCGTTTAGATCAAACTTTAGTGTTTGTTGAAAACGATGTTATTGTTGCTGCTATTGAGCACTGGCGAAGGAAGGATAATAAAATGCAGTGTCATAGTGCAACGATCAAAATAGTGAGTCCCAACAAAAAAGGTATGGGTATATAGCAATAATATCTCGGTGCGTGACCAGGTCTCACGATAGTTTCGTTTTATTGGCAAGGATCAACGACAAGGAGCCCAAATGGCTACTGGAAAACTGAAACATGCGTTGTCCATAATGGTCGCAAAGAGTCAATTCAAGTCCCTTAGAGCTCGATAATTTTAGTTGTCTTGGCATAAATTCGTCTACTTAATGCCTACTAGACGGCTCACTCTCTCCTCTCTCCCCATCTGCTCTGACTGCCTCTTCAAATCATACTCTCCCGGAGAAGAACGGGACACGAGAGGGTTAAATCGACATCATGGCCTGTGGTTCCTGCCTTATTCGTTTAACACATTTCACCGAAAGCCAGTATCAGAAAATACTTCTCTTAAAATCAGCATCATTTGAACGCATGAGCGGACATAGGGACTCTGTAATTCCAGACACAGTAAACTGAAATTCTCAATTTCTATGCTGAATTAGGTAAAAGATTGCGAGAAAATCAACCACAAGGTACAGATCCAAAAGTTGCCTCGTATCGGCATTGTTAGTTGAGTCGAACCAACAATGTTTGTCTTTCGGAAATTCTAGCGGTTAGCAGAATTGCATAACATTTGGTGTATTCTGTTTGTTGTTAACATTCAAAAAACTAGGGGGAGGGGGGGGGGGAAATCGAACGCCTATCGAATGCTTAGAATGCGTCCACGCTGACCATTGCACCACAAACAGTGCTAGATTTTTCCAAAATCGTGTAGGCGGTCACGCGGGCAGCTATCTGTCATGCGCTCGTATTTGGCTAGCGACTTTATGGGTTATTAGCAAGTGGATAAGGAAGACGCATTTATAATGCTTAGGTCGTACAAATTAGCGCCAATTTTGCTTGCTTATTACTTAGTCTATCGTCTCATCTTATCACAGATTACAAGGCAACAATCATCAGTGGTCGAACCATCGAACCATTCAATGAGAAGTACCATCGGTGATTTGCAATACAAGTGAAACCTATCTCATTTTTCCCACAAATTTTTTTACTAAATGAAAATTGCGCTATTTGTCTTTCTGACCGTGATGTTTGACATATCAAAGCTCATTGAAGTACTTATTTGAGAATGAATTCATCTTTGGAGCATCCACTGACTGTTAGAGTGCTAGTACTGCGCGACTTCAATTGTACACAGTAGAGGGTAGTTAAAAAATCAACTAAATAGCAACAATCTAGGAACAATGTGCCATGACTGAGAAAGCCCCAAGCGAATTGAAATAAACATAAACAAAGTCAAAGGGAAGATTTGCGCTTAGAAAAAACTTAAAGTTTTGGTGTAACCAACTGCTTCATTTGAGCACAAGTATGAAGAAGGTGTTGTGGGATGGGATTGAATGCAAAAATGGTCCTCCATAAGCAAGATAACAGTATGTGGAGGGGCGGAAGTTCCTCGCCCGAGCCATATTCTCGCACCTAGTGATGTGCCTGCCAGGCACATTCGAGCTCGCTACACTTACGAGCTTCTCAGGAGACCAAGACATCGTAAGCCCCGCCCCCTCATTTACTGTTTGCTACAGATGATGAAACCGGGATTTTAAAGAAACTTTTAAAATCGAAGTTCAGAAGTGAATTTGCTCCAATCAAGACCACATTTCGGATCTAGGGGTTTTCGAGGTTGCTCTTTTCAGTAGTATGCTTTGCTTTGTTGTGCACCGCACAAAGAAAGTGTTGAAGAGAATGAAGAAGATACGACCTTCATGATGATAATTTTGATATCTCCTTTTTGGGTATAAATGATTCAGTTTTCATTTAGTAACATTCTTTTCTCTCAATCTGCTATTCCGAATAAACGACTATACTTATCGTCTTCATCACCGTCGTTATGGATCCAACAAGTGGCGATCAGACCCCGAACCCGATCCCGAACCCGAACCCCAACATGGATCCCACCCAGTTCCTGATGCTGCAAATCATGGAGCTGTGGAAAGAAGTGAAGAAGAAGCAAGGATCCAGCGAAGATTACGTGATGAACGCACTTGCCACTCGTCTACCAGAATTCAACCATGACCCTGAGAATGGATGCACGTCTGGGCCGGTAGTAATCTACCCTACCTGGTGGCATCATAGATGCCGGCAAGTTGGCACACATCGCGGAAAGATGCCAACTCCGCCGGCAGCTCGCGGAGTGATTGTAGGTTTTAATAATCTTCTATAATCTTAGTACGCAGTTATTTCGTTCATCAAATTCTGATAACGTAGACAGCCGCAAAACTGCTACCTCGCGCGCGATCGAACCTATGTGCGTTAACTTGAAGTGCCACCACGTTAACAATTCGACCATTTGGTCAGCAATTGCCGTCTGCACCAGCAATAGGAGGAACGCACCGGTAAGTGGCCGCCTGTAAGAGGGATCGATACATTGCGCGAGAGACTTTGACCTGAAAGAACAGCTGATTGATATGAGCGAGAGAGGGGCTAAATCGGTGCAAATAAGATTTAGAAGGGATTGCAAAAAAAGATGGTGTTCCTTACGGTTCTAAGGCATTACCAGATTTTTTCTCTGTAAGAAAATCGTCGTTTCAAAAAAGAAAAACTCATATATTGAGAAAAATGAAGGTTTTTGGATGGAAAGTGGAATTTTTTGATTTTTTCGCCTGACGTAAATTGTGTGATATCGCCGCAATTCGCAATCTCACAGACGCCGTCGGCAAAGGTGCCACCACCTCGACGTGGTAGGGGCACGTCGAGATGCCGGCAGCTCCCTCTCTCAAAAGAGCACGCTATTTCCCGTGCTCTCTGACCTGCCGGCAGCTGCCATCTCGAGGATTCCGCCAACTTGCCGGCAGGTTGCCGGCAACTGACCTCGCGAAGTTGCCGGCAGCTCCTCCTGGAATTCCAGATATTTTACTAAAGGAGGAGTTCTGGAGCCGCAGATTTTTATGAACTTTTCTACAGAGTCGAGGCGGCAACTTTATCGAGAAAATTTTTTGAAAAAAGGCCTGGGACGGCCTAAATTTCGGTTCTTAGTTTCTGGCCACCTCGCGGAAAGGTGCCAGCAACCTGCCGACGAGACCTGCCGCCAGGTCGGGGGGATTACTACCGGCCCTGACGTATGGCTGCAACGCTATGAGAATGTAATCAAGAACGACGGAGCCGCACTGGATGACAACGCAAAAGCCAGGCTGATAGTATCCCGGCTCGACCAGAAGACACATGCCCGTCTCGCAAACACAATCGCTCCTAAGAAGATTGAAGACATGGACTTACAAACGACAAAAGCGACTTTATTGAAGCTATTTGGATGCCGTAAGTCAGTTTTCACACGCCGATACGAGTGTACAAGGATGAAATACCATTCATCGATGCCATTATCGGACTTCGTCGCAGAAGTCAACCGGAACGTGGAAAACGCAGAATTTGCTGCTATGACTGGTGAGCAGTTCAAGTGCTTAATTTTCGTAAGCGCTCTAGAAGATGACGATTGTGTTGCACTACGAACCCATGTACTGAAGAAAATGAAGGCCGAACCGGACACAACTCTGACGGATCTACTGGAAGAGTGCAACGACTACTCGGAATTGCAGTCTCACATTGAAATGATCGGCAAAGCCAAGGTACCACAGGTCCATGCAATTCAGAGGGATGAAAATCCGCAAGTCAACGCGATGCAGCGAGGCGAAAAGCGGAAATCGTCCACTGATCAGAAGCCCAAAGCAGATTTACTTTGTATGAACTGCGGAGCAAGGACCCACAGGACCAGAAGATGCGAGAAGCCGATACATGAATGCAACTATTGCAAGAAACGCGGACATCTAGAAAAATATTGTCTGCGTAAACTGTTTGTCGATGACGCCAAGGACGTCCGTCACGTCGCCACCTCACCACCTAAGGAGACTAAAGCCTACCGCAACGTGAAAATCAACGGTATGAATATCAAGATGCGACTAGATTGTGGAGCCGAAGTCACTCTTATCGATCGCGACACATGGATCAAGATTGGCCGACCGAAACTAGAAGAACCCAAACATAATCTTACTGCTGCCAATGGGACCAGCATCAAATGCCATGGACAATGCACATGTGAATACGTGCTAAATGGCATCACTGTAAAAGGCACAGCATATGTCGTTGATGGACCACCTCTACTCGGGATGGACTGGATTCGAAGCGACCGTGCTCTCTACAATATGATCATCGGCTGTTACGATGCCAGTACAGTGGCATCCACGGAAGATACACTTGACAAGGATAGAACTCAACTGACAACGATGCTGCAGGAAAAGTTCGCGGAAGTGTTTCAACCCGGCTTAGGACATTGCACGAAAATGAAGGCGTCCCTCGTACTCAAAGAAGATACAAATAAGACATTTCGCAAAGCCCGACCAGTACCGTATGCAGCACTTCCTGCTGTCACCACCGAACTGGAACGACAAGTAAACATTAGAGTTCTTTCTCCAATTACTCATTCCGAATGGGCTGCACCTATCGTCTGCGTTAAGAAATCTAATGGAAAACTTCGTATTTGCGCCGACTTTTCAACTGGGCTGAACGACGCGTTAGAACCACACAAGTACCCGCTTCCTACCCCCGAAGATGTCTTCACTAAATTGAATGGTGGACGTTTCTTTACTACGCTCAACTTGAGCGAAGCGTACTTACAAGTGGAAATTGACACGATGCCAAGCGACTACTTGTCATCAACACTCATAAGGGACTCTTCCATTACAACCGATTACCTTTTGGAGTCAAGACAGCTCCCGGCATTTTCCAGCAGCTGATGGACACTATGATCGCAGATATAGCAGGAGTTGCTGCATACATGGATGACATAGTTATCACGGGATCGTCAATTCATGAACACACCAAACACCTCACTGCTGCTCTACACCGCGTCAAGGATTATGGATTTCGACTCAGAATCGAGAAATGCGCCTTTCTACAACGAAAAATAAAATATCTTGGAATGGTCGTTGATGAAAACGGACGCCGACCGGATAAAGAGAAAATTCGTGCGATTGAATCGATGCCTGTCCCCCAAGACTTATCGCAGGTGCGTTCATTTCTCGGCATGATTAACTATTACGGAGCATTTGTCTCGGAGATGAGAACTATTCGGGCTCCTCTCGATAATTTACTTCAGAAGAATACCGAATTTGAGTGGACTGAGGAGTGTCAAAAGTCATTTGAACGAGCAAAAGCTATTCTTGCATCCGATTTATTGCTAACGCACTACAATCAATCCTTACCGATCATAGTAGCCGCCGATGCGATTACGGCATTGGAGCAGTCATCTTGCATCGTTTTCCAGACGGTTCCGAAAAGGCCATCTGTCATGCCAGTCGTACTCTCAACACATCACAGAAGAACTATGTCAAATTGAAAAAGAGGCTCTTGGACTAATCTTTGCTGTCACAAAATTTCACCGCTACATACATGGCCGTCACTTCATACTTTTGACTGACCACAAACCTCTTCTAGCCATCTTTGGAAACAAGAACGGAGTACCGGTGTACACTGCAAATCGACTGCAAAGATGGGCCACTCTCCTTTTGGGATACGACTTTGATATCCAGTACCCGCAATACTGTGGATTTTGGACAAGCGGATGCTCTCTCCCGACTGATTGCAGCCCATCCAAAAGAACACGAAGACGTTGTCATTGCAGGGCTGGACGCCGAAATGCGAATTGATCTGCTGGATCACAGCCGTCAGTTACCGCTTACTATTCACGAAGTAGCTGCCGAAACAAAAGAAGATCCGTTACTTCAGAAAATTAAGTCATTTGTATTAACACACTGGCCGAAAATTTCCCGCGACGCTCAGGAATGGCCATTCTACAACCGAAGAGACCTACTATCAATCGCAGATGACTGTCTACTTATGGGAAACCGCCTAATCATTCCGAACAAGCTCCAACGAAGAGTACTGGACAGCTTGCACACTGCACATCCTGGAGTTGTTCGTATGAAGATGCTTGCCCGCAGTCACGCCTATTGGCCAAACATCGACCGAGATATCGAACTCCTCGTCCGCTCCTGCGATAGTTGTGCTGCTGCTTCAAAAGACCCAATCAAGACGGACTTACATTCCTGGGAAGCTGCAACTAAACCGTGGAGTCGCATTCACGTCGACTTCGCTGGACCAGTGAATGGACCACTTACATCGTTGTAGTGGACGCTTTCTCAAAATGGCCAGAAATCATCGAGATACCCAACACTACGACTGGTGGAACGATCCACCAACTCAAGACACTGTTCAGTCGTTATGGAAATCCAGAAGTACTTGTGTCCGACAACGGTTCTCAATTTACATCATTCGATTTCCACGCATTCTGTGACTCCCGAGGAATCAAACACGTTCGAACACCACCTTTTCATCCGCAGTCAAATGGACAAGTCGAAAGATTCGTTGACACCTTCAAACGCGCGCTTACCAAACTACAGAGGGAGGAGACGCCAGCCGATGCGCTACAAACCTTCCTAATGCACTATCGCAGCTCGCCAAGTCCGAACCTGAATGGCCATTCTCCGGCCGAAATGTTCATCGGACGTGGAATTCGCACAACTCTGGAATTACTATACCCGGCTAACGAGGAATGTGGTGCACGAGATAAAAAATTGGAGGAACGGTATAATCGTCACCATGGAACCACTGCTAGAGTCTTACCTCAAGGTCAACTCGTCTATGTGAAGGACTACCGAACAGTTAATAAAACTGCCTGGATTCCTGGAATAATTTGCAAGAAATTGGCGATGTCACATACGAAGTAAAAGTTGATCCTGGAATCTGGATCCGGCACGCTGACCAGATCAAACCACGTGCATCTATGGACTCAACAGCTGAAGCCACAAATGATAGTTCTGACACGATTCCCTCAAAACCAGCAACATCTCCGCAGGCACAACTGGATCAGGAAGAAACCACCGCGACACTTTCAGCTATATCTCGCCCCACTCGAACCCGACGTCCACCAAGTCGTCTCATAGTAAATTCACGTGCCGCTACTTACCATTATACTTAAAAGGGGAGGTGTTGTGCACCGCACAAAGAAAGTGTTGAAGAGAATGAAGAAGATACGACCTTCATGATGATAATTTTGATATCTCCTTTTTGGGTATAAATGATTCAGTTTTCATTTAGTAACATTCTTTTCTCTCAATCTGCTATCATTACTTATAATAACGGGCTAAGGTTGTTTACGTGACTTTGTGTGTCTGTGTGTGTGTGTGTGAGTGTGTCTGTTACGAAATTCGTAGAGCGTGTTCCAGCCAACCTCCTGGGCTCAAATTTTGCACAATGCATGCTATCCGCATGAAAGTCAAACATGCAAAAGCACGAGCAAATTCGTTCAGTGGATCCTTGAGAAACTGCGAGTCAAACGGATCCACTTTGCATTTGGGCCGCAAAATTGGGTCCGTAATTCCGCTTTTTGTAGAGTCGTGAAGGTTTATGCCAAGTAAATGTGCAAGCCGTTAACTTAGGCCCAAAAAAGTGATCAAATGTCCATTACTTTACAAAAACGGCGCCAAAAAGTATTGGTTGCTCAAATGGTCAATTTGCCAAGGTTTTACCAGAGCTTTTGACGAGATTTTTGCACAAAGATGTAGCTCACGGTGACTGCTGTTCTTATCGCAACTGTCAAGACCACGGGAAAATCAAAAACCTATAAAAATTTGTGTTTGTTTTCCTGCAAAAAGTCTCATCCACGCGAAATGACCGATTTCATATAAAGAAGCTTTCGGAATGAGTAGTTGTTTACATTTTGTTCGTAACTATCGGCATTGCTCGGTGAGTTCCAATGCCATCATTATGCGAAAATGAGTAGGGCCTAGATAGTGGAGCCAGTGCGAGCCTCTGCGAAGCAGAAGTGACGCACTGGTTCCGAATAAACGACTATACTTATCGTCTTCATCACCGTCGTTATGGATCCAACATGCTTGTTGCAAAGTCGACGTTCAGCACTGGTGATGCTTAACCAAGATTAAAACTCGGAATTAGAGTTTTCAATTTTCTATTTCAATACAAGACCAAAACTCAGGTTTGAGGGTTCACGAAATCGTTTTTTAGGTCACGGTATATGTTTTGTTCAATATCAATAGGATTTGTTTTTTGGACAATTTTTTGGAGAAAAAAAATGTTCTTTTCGCCAAAATCGGATTACTTTCATAGAATTGTGCCAGATGCAGGAACACGTATGTGATTCTGTAATGTTTTCTTCTCCTGACTTCATTCTCAAGAATATGTCAAAGTAAAGCGCTTATAATGACCCAGCCAGCTATTTCTTGAATCTGATATAGCATAGGTCACTGAGGTCATCGAGCTGGCTCAGTGCCAGAAAAGCTTCATAGTAGACGTGGAAAACTCGGAGTAGTGTCAAACAAGAGAGAAAAACATCTTTATTATTTTGGAAACATTCAAATTTAAATTCTGATTTTTGAGATTTCAGTATTTTAAGACTCAGTAAATTACATGGAAAAGCCACGGAAAACGTAACGCTCACAAGCGACTGGAAGAAGAAAACATAAATTTACACGCACCATTTTGAAGTTTGCTTCAATCTAGTTTGATTTAACCGTATTTTAGTACTCAGGACTAAATTTTATATGCGTCCATA